ACAATGTATTGCTGGCAATTGCTACAAATGTACCCCAGCGACTTAAGACTGGTTTTGTGCTCCAGGGTCACATATATTGAGCACTGATTTGTTTAACCAGCTTGAAAAAGTATGGTCAATAGTGAACACAAGTTGAGCAACTTAGTTTAATTTAAAAGCGTTTAAATACATTTAATTCACATGTAGGGAAAACTGTAAAATTCACATTCAAGCCATAAAATCTAGTCATTCATACGTCACATTCAAGATTTGCAGTTACACATCTACAGTGAGTCCTTGATAAGAGTGTCTAACAGATACTCCATTCGTTTAATTCAAATGTCAGACAGCAACATCTCCGTTTATAGCTGCATTCACCTCTTACAGTATAAAGTGCTGGACCAGGTTTGGTCTTGTTTTTAGAAGCAGCTCTGGATCACACGGGTCTAAAAGGAGAGAAGTAGTTCCTGTGTTGTGTTTGCAGTGCAGGGTTTAGACTGGTTTCGAGCTCTCTTTGTCTCTGCAGCAGACCCTGAAATAAAAGAATTCAAAATCAGCATTTCATACATGGGATTGCACTGTATCCTGCTGAATTTTGTTTGTTGCAGCCAGGAAGCTCATCGCCAATAACTGATCAAAAGTACACACAAAAGACAGGAAACAGGTAATGTTTCAAAGCTTGTTCACACAGTGCACATCTTGGTTTAGAGTGTCACCTGTCTCCGCTCGGACAGACCCTTCAGGATGGCCTGCTGCCGTTCAGTGCTTTGAGGAGGATGCTGGACCTGCCTGCAGCCGCTCACAACTGCAAATAAAAACAATACGTCTACTGTTGCTTAAAAAAAACAGTTCCCCCAAAAGACTCAGAATTGTTAGCCACTACATCAAGCTCAGAAAGAAAAAAGCAAAGGATCATAAACTTTAGGTGTGTGTATATATATATATAATGCACAAATAATATTTGAGTCTGCTTTGGCAGAGGGGAAGATTGTTAGTGAATAATGATAAATTATCACACAAAGCACAGAAATCGTATATGTACGTACATTAATATTCAAAAATAGCTGCTGTCCTGTTATGTTTGCATAATATCTGAACTAATTTAATTTGTAGAACGGATGCCTTTTTAAGGTATGACTCCTTATTGGAACTTAACTTATTATTGGAGTTATGAATTGCTGTATGGAAAAGAAATGTGTGAAGCTCTTCCTTCACTGGAACACAAAAGGAGAATTCATGAAAGAATGTCACAAGGAGGCAAGTAACAAAATCCAGCTGTGCACTGATTGCTGCATTAAGGTGCAGTTACATTTACTGTCATTCAGTGAATTTTCACATTAGAAATACAGTTATTTCAATAGGAATCCATGCTTAAGTAACGAATGCATCGTATGTAACCCAATGAGGATCTGTCCTCTATAGTGAGACTGTGCAGCAGAGGGTTAAACCCCTTCACCCAGAGTTATCTCACCTGTGTCTCTCTGCTGGGCTTCATGTGTCGAGGGTCTGGAGAGTGGAGCGAGGGGGTCCATGTGATACACCTCGTCTGTGCGCATGTTCGGCACATAGTCTGATACCAGCAGGCGCCCCGTCTCCTCCGTCATTTGGTGAGAGCACTGTTGTGATGGCTGATGCACACGGGTCTTTACTGCAGGAACGGGAGGAGACGTCACGCTGCTGGAGATTCACACTTTATAAGGACATTTATGCACGTTCATCCACTCTTTAGTCACAAGAAAACACATCAAGCATAGTAAATATACACTTTCAAAGGTAATGTTGGGAAGACATTTATATATACTGTAATATATATATTTCAGGGAGGAATTCATCTTTCTGTTCACCAAAGGTTAATTGGACTACAAAAACAGTAATACAGTTTCTAAAACATAAGTTTTTAGCTGTGCTGGTAAAGCCTGATTTCCTGCAGCCAATACTCCAGTCTAATAAGAAAACCTTGTCTTATATAACTCTTAAGGAATCTTTCTAATATGCTGATCTGGAACTCGAAAAACATTTCTTGTAATTAGCACAGTTGAAAAAGATTGTGCTGCATAATGAGGTGTGGAAACAGTACTACAGTCTTTTTCACGCTTTTTCCAATTTTTGCATTTCTTGCAATTCACCGTAAACTCTCAAGGCAAATTATAGAATTTAGAAACAAGATTTTTTGATAACTGCACATTTATTAAAAAGGAAAAAAAATGAACTATCACACGGCCTGGGCTGCGTTTCCCAAAAGCATCGTAAGCGGAGTTGATCGTAGAGACCATAGGTGGCAATGGGTCTACTTAGATTTAAGATGCTTTTGGGAAACGCAGCCCAGATTAGTGTTATCCAGACCCTTTGCTATGACACGTCTCGGAGGGATTTCTAGACTCTGACTGGAGTCCACCTGTGGCTAATTCAGTTGGAACAGCACACACACACACTATATAAGGTCTAACTGTTGAACATGGACATACATATCAGAGCAAAGCCCAAGCCACGAGATCAAAGAAACGGCCTGCTGAGCTCAGAGACAGGGCTGTCGAGGCATAGATGTGGAGAAACCTACAAATATTAAAGGCTCCCAAGAACACAATGGCTTCCATTTTTAATGGAAGAAGTCTGGAAGAACCAGGACTCTTTCTAGAGCGGACTGTCCACTCAAACTGAGTGAGCAACCCAAGGATAAAGGCCTTGGTAAGAGAGGAGACGAGTGATCTGAAAGACCAGCATCACTGCGTCTTCTGATGGCAGACAGAAGCCTCTCTTCAGCACAAAACACATGAAAACCTCAAACCTACAGTTTCTCAGATGGGAAGAAACAAGATTTCCAGGTTTGACTGGCCTCAATTCCAAGTGTCATATCTGGAGAAAATTTGCGTTTACTTTTTTTTTTCTCAAAATTTGCCAAGATAACACAAATCTGTTTTTTGCTGTCATGATGGGGTGTAGATATGAACTGTATGCAGTATGCACTGTATTGTATTATATACAAAGATTCCAGTGAAATGTCCCAGAGCTATTACAACTCACTGCAATTGTGTTACATATAATTCCCATTCTCTGATAAAAACCTGTTGTGCATAATCTACTACATGCCTTCTGTCCTCTCATTCAGTTTACACTTTTTTAGCAAGTAAAAGGCCTTTTAGTATAATTGTACAAACATCCACATTCAGCTTGTGCTTCACGAGTCTTTTTGGTGTGAAATCTTAAAGAATGACTTTTTATTGTTAATAATATTTAAAAATGAACACTTACTGGACTGAAGCAACTTAGGTTTACTTGATTATGCACAATATCTTCAAAAAAAATAAATCAAATGTTAAAATCAGGCTTTTAAGAAATGTTGATTTGTGCATCTCTCAATCACTGTTTTGCTTTGATCATAAAACTAAGCATTTAAATATCTTACTAAGACATGTAATTGGGTGATATAGATTGACTACTGATTTATAAGTGTTTTATGTAAGTAGTCTGCTACTGTTACTTTACAAGCTATCAGAATGTCATCTTATTTTACCATACCATACACCTTACCATATTCATATCAGCAACTGCAGAAATTGCATATTTTTGCTCAGTTTGGGCCTCTGAATAAAAGGTGTTGTTTTTTCCTCGAGTATGAGCTCAATATTCTCCTGTACCAAACTGAGCCATAAAAGCCTGATGTATCAAATATGATACTCTACAAAAACACACTTTTTTTTGTCTAAAGGTTTAATAAACACGTCCATTTATAAAAAAAAAAAGAATTTGCAAAATGCAGTAATCACATGTGCAGGGATAACCTTCCTGTAAATAAACTCATAAAATCAGTGATTTTTTTGTGTTCTTTTCTTGCCTAAAAATTACATTTGGTTTACTTTAGATTTATGACCCTAAATAGTCACTGTAGTCTACTACAGTGATGCATTTTGAGAGTTACTGTCTATTTACAAAAAAAAAAAAAAGTACTTCAAAAAGCAAAAAAAAAAATTGTGATATTAAAATTTATCCGAAAAAAAGAAGCTACATGAATCTGGCTAAAAAAACCTCACCTTTCAGCACTCCGTGCGTAAGGTTCATAAGGGTCCGCTCTGACTTCTTTCAGTGCAGCACACATATGCTCTCTGCTGTGGCTCTCTTCAGATGCTTTAACCTCACCTTGATGGGATTTCTTGCCCTTTAGAGTGTTTGGAGGAGCTGTGCATGTTCCTGCAGCTCTGGGAGATTGTTTGTCCGCATCTCTAACGGTCTCATTCACAGGCGGAGCACTCATCTCTGCAAAATCAGACTGATATTAAGCCAATGCTCAAACTTTCGTTTTGCAACTTTAAAAAAAAAAAATTTGTTCAAATTGAAATTCTGTCATTATTTAGCCATCATCCTCTCATTACAAATGCTGTTTGTACTTCATTTACTCAGCTCTTTTCCATACAACAGTTCAAACTGACACATCTACAAAGAAAAACTACCAGAAAAGTTTGTGTGAGAAACAGATCAAAATCAGATTATCATTTACGAAATTTCACAACCATTTTCAGAGTTAACCGACATATCGATGCATGTTTAACGTCATTGTCTCCTATTGTAATCTAACGCCAGATTAAATGTGACAAATAGATCAAGTTTGAGAGCTTTGGCTGTATGTACTGTTGTACTGTTTTAATTGCAGCATCTCTCATTGAAGGCTTCTAGAGGTTTTGAATATGGTGCATCACATGGACTACTTTAACTGTTCTTTTATACTTTCATAATTCTGTTTACCTTTTCCTTTTTGGAACTTGAAAGCCATTGTCAGTGAGTGTCTATGGAAATGTTGTATGAAATGAAAAGTCCAGAAGTAAATGATGACAGAATCTTCATTTTTGGACGAAACAAACCTGTCTGAACAGCGGTGTCTTCTCTTGGAGATGTTGTGGAAGGAGGTGTCATTCTCTGGGTTTGACTCTGCAGCATGGCTGATGGAGCAGGGACATCTTCACCACTAAGGGCTAAAAGACTACTTTATAATAATGCACACAAATGTTGTGAATACAGAGAAAATGTTACCATGTGAGACGGAGTCTGCTTCCAGGCTGTGCAGTAGTTTGGACACATCGTGGCCTTTCTTGGCCAGGTCTCTGATTCTCTGGATGTGTTTGTCTTTACAGGCCTCCTCTTGGGCTCTTTGAGTGCTCAGATACAGCTCCTCCGTTTTACGAGACTGCACCTCCTGGAATAGTTTTCACAACTTTCATATTCAAAATACTACTTAAATTGGACCCTACCATTCTACTTATTCTTTTGAAATGCATACTATTGTGAACTATTGCATTGTGTCTTTTACAACTTAAAAAATGTCCCTTTTAAGCCATTTATTGAGAACTAGAGTGTGCTTCAACATGTGTTCTGTGCTGTGCTGTGTGTGTTTTTACTGCTGTAAAGTGAAGTCACATTGAAATACATGTAAATGGAGTGGATGTGCCACAGTGCAAGGTGCAGCAGAAAAAAAGAAGAACAGTTTCATCTGATATTTGTAACCATTTTCTACACAATTAAATCCAGGCTTTGTTTAGTACATTGTTTGAAGTAGGGCACTGGGTAGATGAATCCAACTGACTGAAAGAAGTTTTGCAATTACAAATTGGGTAGAGTCAGTATTTGTGTTTTCTAGATGTCCATTAAAGTACCAATATCCAGAAGTGAAGCACAGAGATCCCTCTCTCTTAATAAAGAGCATTAACTCTGAAAAAGCTTTTTTCTTGCAATTGAGAGTTTATCTCTCAGAATTCATGCTTTCCATACCATTGCAGTGTTTACATCTCAATTAGTTTTCTCTCTAATTTCTGACTTTACATCTCATCTTTATTATATATATATTTTTAACTATGTTTGTGTAGTATGTGTGTGTTTTACCTCTCTGTGTCTCTGTCGCTCCGAGTCCTTCATATACTGCTGCTGGAGTCGCTGTCTCTCTCTTTCAAGCCTCCTCTCCTCTTCTTGTTCCTGTGCTCTCCGTTCGGCCTCCTCTTTCTCTTTCTGACGTCTGCGCTCCTCTACTTGAGCCTCAATTGCTCGCTGCACATCACACATTCTTACAGAGCTCAGGAATATTTAAGGAGTATAAAGGTGCATGTGTACAGCAGTGAGTTCCTGCGGGTTCAGTCGAGGGCTGAATCTCACCTGGTGCTCCAGCTGTTTGAGTTTTCTGCGTTCTCGCTCCTCGATCTGAGCAGGGTCCAGCAAGGCTGTCATTGTGCGAAGATAACTAAACAACAAATCACAAGGGCATTTTTATTTTCATTAAACAAGCCAGACTTAAAATATTTAGAATTCAGTTCGTTATTCCAAACAAAGTCTAATTTAAAGTTTTTTTGGCCAAAATGTTTTATTTTGGTGCATTATTATAAATTAACTTCCATTTTGTTTGAAAATATTGAAATGTAAAAAAGAAATTACATTTAAAAACGCCAGCTGTAGTTGCCAGAACTTTAACATATAAAAACAGTAGCAACAGTTTAGGTTTTACAGACTGTAAATTTACAGTAAAAAAAAAAAAAAAAACATCATTAAATGAAGTTGTGTTATACTAAATTACTAAAATCTGTATTTTCCATTGTAATATACTGACAAGCACTTTAACTTACCATTAACCATTTAACAGGTTTTTACCATATAATTTTTAGTTTGTTCACCATTATCATCTATCACATTTATGAGCATTTTTTGTGCTATAGATCAATCTGATCTGTTGTTAACCAGGGTTTGTTGTATATAAAGAGCTGTGTGTCATGCATCTCTCAGCAAACTGACCTGGATCTCTGTTGGTTTCCCTGAGTGGTGTCAACACTGGCCCTGCTCAGACGGTCCCCTCCGAACGCACTCGAGCCGGCCCATGCAGTGGACAGAGCTCCAGAGACGGACCCATGAGGAGACAGACAGCTGCTGGTGTCAGGCACCCCTCGCTCGGGGCCCACAGCTGAGGGCTGATGAAGAGAGTCAAAGTGAACGGCCCACCGCTCGCTGTCCTCAGCCTGTGGAGGAGACAAACACTGTGTGACAGAGCACTGTCAGGGGATCGTAACTGTGCACCAAACCGAAAGTGGTGCAGTGTGTGGTTTGTCCTGTGGTGGTCCCTGTAGAAGAAATCATTCAAAGAAGTCAAACCTTTCATGAATGATTCGTCCCTCTGTCTGCATTCGCCCAAACAGTTATACAGTCTTAATTATATAAAGAAATAATCTTCATCTATCTATGTGGTTTGCTTATTAGATGTTTGTTTGTAATAGAGATTTCGGTAACACTTTACGGTGGCATAGAAACTTGACACACTTTTACGGTGTCCAAGTTACATGTACTTCCTATAGTAATAACAATACATTATGCATAATTACATACAACTAACCCTAAACCAAACCCTCATCCTAACCCTAACCATATAGTAAGTACATGTAGTTAATTAATTTTACTCAGTACTTAAAGGTATAATGACACTGTAACAAGGACAATGTAAAATAAACTGTAACCGAGATTTCAGACTGTTTAAACGTAAAACAATCATGACAGATGTATTAAGCTACAACAAAATAAATGGTTTAATTTTGCTTTTATACATTTGTGTTCAAACGTTTTGTGTTCAAAACCCTGCAGAATTTGCAAAATATTAAGAATTTTAATAAAATAAGAGGGACCGTAAAAATGCATGTTGCCCTGATTGAAGCCATTTCACAAGACAAAAATAAAGGCTGAATTTAATGCATCAGAAGACACTGGAAAACCAAACTTCAGTTTCTCTAGGGGTGTAAACGTTTGACCACAACTGTAAATTGAACATTCAAGATAATGTCACATATAAAACTAATTTTCCTTGAAATCGTTTTATTTTAAGTGTAGGGTAGTTGTGGCCTATTGGTTGCTGGTTCGAGTCTCAGGTCCGGCAGAAATTGTCGGTGTGGGGAGTGAATAACCAGCGCTCTCTTCCACCCTCAATACCACGACTCAGGTGAGACCCTTGAGCAAGAACCGAACCCCCAACTGCTCCCCGGGCGCCTCAGCAATATGGCTGCCCACTGCTCCGGGTGTGTGTTCACTACTGTGTGTGTGCACTTGGATGGGTTCAATGCAGAGCACAAATTCTGAGTATAGGTCACCATACTTGGCCACATGTCACTTGACTTCACTTCACTTGAGACTGCATGACCTAGCAAAATTACTTTTAATAAGTGTGCAAAATTACTAATAATAAGTGAATGAATGAATGATGCATTTATATAGCGTTTTATTGTGTATTGCTGTACACCCAAAGTGCTTTACAATCATATGGGGGGGGTCTCTCTTCAACCACCACCAGTGTGCAGCATCCGCTAAAATATGATCATATTACCCCAATTTTACAGTCTCTGCACTGGCTACCTATTAAGTTCCGTATCAGTCACAAATTATTATTACTTGCCTATAAGGCCCTTAATGGGCTAGGTCCTGCGTACCTAACTAGTCTTCTACCACGGTACAATCCATCACGCTCCCTAAGGTCGCAAAACTCTGGACTTTTGGTAGTACCTAGGATAGCAAAGTCCACTAAAGGAGGTAGAGCTTTTTCGCATTTGGCTCCCAAACTTTGGAATAGCCTTCCTGATAATGTTCGGGGTTCAGACACACTCTCTCTGTTTAAATCTAGATTAAAGACACATCTCTTTGGCCAAGCATTCAAATAATGCATCTCATAATCTCGTACTGCAGTTATATCTGATCAAATGCACATTATTATTCTTTAGTTTGGGTTAAACAAATCAATTTTGCTTGGTTGGAACAGCAGCTACGCTAATTTTTCTCTATTTCCTTCTCTGTTTCTGCCACGGGATGGGCATTACACAAGCTTCAGTCTGGATCCAGCCCTTACAAAGACCTGAGATGACCGAACACTGAGAAGAGATGATGCCAACCCCTCAGACAACATACAAAACTACCACATTTTGCTATCAGTTTGATCGCAACATATAATCATTGCTGTTAATAGTGTTCACCGTTTGTTTGAATGACATGTCATTAACTAACTGCATGATTTTTACTGTACATTTCTGCCATACAGACATCATCTTTACTGCTAAATATAATGTAGAAACTTCAATTTTCTGTGAAGCTGCTTTGCAACGATTTGTATCGTGAAAAGTGCTATACAAATAAACGTGAATTGAATTGAACTGAAATAAAATCATTGCTTCATTGGGGTTAGACTATTGCAACTTCTTTTTTCTTAAATGTTGTTTAAATGTGCAAGTTACATATCACAGAGAGTCAGGACCTTGGTTTAACGTCTCATCCGAAAGACGTCTCATCCGTGTGACCCCTAAAAGCACAAGTGGCCCCTGCCTGGCCCCCAGGTACTGCCACTGAGCACTGTGCATCAACTGTACTCTACTACATGTATGTCAGGGATCAAATAGATTGAAGATGTCCTGCATCTTCAGTAAACACAGGTAGTCCAAAATGCAGCAGCTAGAGTCCTTACCAGGTCAATTTCTGTGAAGCTGCTTTGCAACGATTTGTATCGTGAAAAGTGCTATACAAATAAACGTGAATTGAATTGAACTGAAATAAAATCATTGCTTCATTGGGGTTAGACTATTGCAACTTCTTTTTTCTTAAATGTTGTTTAAATGTGCAAGTTACATATGCACTCATTTGAATACATTCCCAGAACAGAAATCTGAACACTGGATAAAGCCAGGTTCAAAATCCTTGTTTTATTTTTGTTCACAGATTAGAGTTAAACTTGACTCAATCACTGTGAGAGGAGTTCACCTGGCTGCTGATCTCTTTGTCGTGTTGTCGGCGTAGTTTGTCCTCCTCTCTCTGCTTGTCCAGTTCCTGTAACCAGTGTCTCTGCTGCTCCTGTCTCTGAGCACTGAACAAGTCCTCCACAGGAGCTGCTTCCTGTACACCACAGATACCGTCAGATATCAAGCAAATCAATCGATTGTAGAGCCATTACGATGGACGCTAGTTTTGAGACTCACCCCCACTATAAAGCCAGAGCGGATGGCAGCAGGAGGCTCTCGCTGTGTCTGAGCTGGAGCTCTGCGGTTTGAGCTCTCCGCTCCTACAGCGGCTCGTGTGCTCGGTCCGTCCTGCACCAACACATACATGAACAGACATTCAACCCCAAAATGGTTTTGAATGGCATGATCATCGTGTCGCACTGTCATGGTGTGATTATTTATTCTTTATTAAGGTGTGTTCACATTTATCGCTGTTTGACAAAATTGAATTTGTTTTTTTTTCCTACTATGGAAGTTAATGGCAACCACCAACTGTTTGATTACCAGCAATCTTCAAAATATCTTATTTTATGTTCAACATAAGAAAGCAACTCATACAGGTTTGGAACAACATGAGGGTGAGTAAATGATGACAGAATTTTCATTTTTGGGTGAACTATCCCTTTAACATTTATTTTCCTTGAATATTTGCTTTATGTATCTTGTCACCTAAAATGTTATTTTTGTTGATTAAAATTAGGTGCTATTTCAGCCAGAGTAAATTTGACTCATTATGGCATGACAAAATATTGACTGAGTTATATAAACAATAGACCAATACCAAAAGTCAGAATTTAAAGTAAAAAAAATTTTTAATTAAATAAATAAAATGAACACTGGACCTGGCCTGAGAGGCTAGGTTAAATCTTTTCATTTTTATAATGCACTTACGTTTCAAATGAAATGCACTTTTATTAACAGCCAGATTTGTTCTCCCAGAATTAAACAGTGATGTATAATTTATATTTATTTGTTGCACCCTCTTGTGGACAGTTGATTTAAAAAGGACGATTTAAACATTCAGTGTTTACATTATTTTCCCCTGATATTTAACTGAAAAAAATCACATTTTGTTTCTACAGCCAGGCTAGCAGAATCTTTATCATCTGGCACGATGTGGTTGTACTGACATCATTAGCCGTGACAGATCGAACACATACAGACAGATGATTTTCAACGGCAAACTCGAATACACCATTATAGTGTGTCAGACACTGCCCATGACACAGCAGTGCCAATATGTTTTATAAAAAGCAAAGTACATCATATCCACTCACTGTGTCAGGCAGGTCTTTCAGCCTCACTTCACATGATTCACTGTGAGCTTTCGTATCTTTGAGACTGGCTTTCTGCTGCCTCTTTAGAGCCATCTGCTCATCTGTAAATCAGCAAACTGATTAGCCATACATTGAACTAAACCCTTTAATGTCAATTTAATGTAATGATTTGTCCATCACATTTCTATGCCACCTTCATTAATATTTAAAAATGTGTTACTTATAGTTGACACAAATGTTTGCAGTGTCTGATTGCACAACACAGCAGTACCCAGCTCTCTCCTCCACTGAGCTTTTCTGGCTTCCAGTTTGTCTCTCTCTCTTTCCCTTTCTCCAAATGTGCTGAACAATCCTGACTGCTGCTCATCTGACAGAGGCCTGATTCAAAGCAAAAGAGACTCATAAATTTCATCATGGTTAAGAACTACCCAGCTAACAGGTAACATTCTCAGAACTTTAGACAACATTTCTGGCAAGGTTCTTTCAAAGTTATGAACAAAAATTCATTATTACATTACACATTATTAGTCTTTAATAATGTTCTCAAAATGCCAATACAGAAATATTATTTATACATTGTTCATGGAACATTTTTCTGAAACATTTTAGTTGGACATTTGTCTAAACATTGATAGTTATTAGTTTTAGATTGTTTAGAGAACATTCAAAAATAACTTTCCCTATATGTCTTCAAAATGATCAAATGGAATGTTTCTCCAACGTTCTCAAAACCAAGAACAAGAATGTTTTTTAAACATAAAAAAAAAAAAAAAAGGATGCTTTGAAAGAAAATTCTGAAATAACGTGTTCATAACTCAACGGGAACGTTAGCAAAATGTTCTTAGAGCATATTCTTGTTAGCTGGGTTTTCATCACGTAACTCACTTGGTGAATCTCACAAAACTTATCAAAAGCATAATTCATGGCACAGGTCATATTTCAACCTAAAAACAAAAAATAGACTTTTGTTAAAGTTCCTTTCACTGTAGCATTGTCATCACGACAACTAAGCACACTTCATAAGATTCAGCTTTTTAGATGTCCTGTAGCTGATCTTAAATCAAGTCAGTTTTCTTACTGTCTGTCTGTCTTTACTTGTGACGCTCTGTGTCTGTAATTATGGTCGTCCAGGATCAACTCTTCAGCTGTTCCTGTACTTCCGGGACAGTTTTCCTCTGAGCTGGCCACAGGCTCTGCTAACAAGAAAAAAACCTGTCCTTCAGAATGTTATGGATGAAGTTATTTAAAGCAGCAGGTGCTACACTGTAGAAGCTCACCTGTGTGGGTGTGTGTGTTGGGATCAGGCTGTGCATTAGCAGCGGATGAGCTGCTGATGGTGCTCAGTATCTGCTGAAACTGCTCCTGTGTCAGACACACCACACTCTCGCTCTGCCGGGTGACTATGCAAGAATCATTCCTGCTGCTGTCTGACTGGACTCTCACAGCCTCGCTGGACGTGCTTTCCGGCCTGCGCTTGGCGTTGGTCATTCTGGGTCCCTGTGTGATATTCTGCCCAACAGAACTAACAGCTGGTGTGTTTTTGCTTCTTTTCTCCTGTTCGGCTCTGTCTGGTTGAGGAGGACCTTGTTTGGGGTTGATGATTTTGTGTGTTGTTTTTCTTGGAGGAATCTAAGCACAAAGCATACAGACCACACACACAAGTAACACACCATTCAAAACAACATACATGTTTGATAACTTCTAGAATTTGGGTGTTAAATTGAACACATTTACACAGACTGAACTCATTGAAGCTCACTGACATATTTTAAAAAGACAAATCATTTTTGCATAAAGGCTGCACAGATGTTTGCTTACCCGACAAGAGCACTTCTTATTAAAAGACTTTGATTCAGCACCTGTATAAGACGAGATACAGACACACTCTTACAACTGTCCTCTTACTTCCATACTATACAGTATGCAAAAAGCAGCATGTCAAATAGTATATAAGCAATGTTCATAAAACACAGACGCAAAAAAATGGCCCGATTGCCTTCTTCCACTGAGACTCTGAAGTGTGCATACATCAAAACTGACATACATGACATTAAATGAAGGGATGGAGTTCATGTTCTTACCATATTTAGCCAGCACAAGCCTGGGCTTGCCATTGTCCAGCTCAAACAACAGGCCATCACTGCAAAACAAACCAATAGACCTGAGCAGAACACACTCACATTCTAACAAGTACTATGTTAAAACCATGGTACTTTGTAAGTACTATGATTAATAAAATCATTCATTACCACGGTTTTAATAATAAAGTGCCAATGTTTTAAGCATCATATACCACAACTGTATCTTACTGCAAAGGTCAGTCTAAAACAAACAGCTTAGAGTGAATGTTTCAGACGAATCTACACGCATATCATAAAATACTGCATCCTTTAATCATCCGCATTTACAAACCACTAAAGCAGCATAAAACGCGGTGACATTAATGTGACAAACTACTACAGAACGTGAAGAGAGACGCATACTAGCTAAAAAAGTCATGTGAGGTCAGTTAAGACCACTCACCCCAAATTCATCATTTTAAAGCCTCTAATGTTTCGATGCCTGTGCGTCCTGTTGAAACGCGTGTCCGTTGCTGCTCGCGACCAGTAAGCGCTCTTCTGATTGGCTGAGGCGGAGTGTCTTCTTCTACAGCCCAGCAGCAGCAGCAGCAGCAGGGCAGCAAACATCAGGAAGGGCTTTAGCGCCTCTTCAGGTGGAGAGGGGAAGCGCGACTGTGCTCTCGGACACCGTCCCGCTATTAGCATTATTTGAAAAGATTGTAATAGTGTTTTCAGCTTAAAGGGAAAAGCATGAAATCCATTTGACGTTAAGAAAAAAGTATAATTGTGTAGTTATAAAAAAAGAAGAAACTAATGTCAGTGTTATTCGTTAACGCACTCAAAAAGTTGAAAGAGAAAGATGTAGCCTACCTTTGCATTTTACTGTAAAATATTTTTCTTTATTTTAACGTTATTAATTTATTGCATTTAAGATGTTTTCCTGAATGCGTGTTTGCATTTGCATTAATCTTTGTTTGTATGTAGCTAAGATGCAATTATTTTGGCAGGTACACTGAAAAAAAGGTGTATTTATTTGAAACAAGTTTTCACTCAGAAAATACAAATAATTACAAAGAAACAGCAAGTAACATACTGAATTAATTCTTTGAAATTTTGAAGAAGATAGACTGAAACCGTTTTTGTTGTTATTGTTGTTGTTAAAACACACTCCTCCAATAATCCTAATTTACAACCTTAAAAAAATAATTTTACAGTGTACAATTATATAAAACATATACAACTGAAAACATTACAATGAGACAGATGCTAATAATAATAATAATATCAAAACTGAAGTTTTAATAAGTTCAGCTGGAAAAAAAATCTAATCAGTTATAGCACTCATTGTATTCGATGAATTCTTCGAATTCTTGAAGAGCATTGCTAAATGAGACAAACAATATAAACCCTGCAGGCAGAATTCTCAAATATAACACGAGTATGAGCAAATACCCCAAATAATGCCTGCAGAACAGAATCAGGACTAGATAATCAGAATGAAAGAAAGTCATTATATTCAATAACCATGTAGCAATAGAGATGGTATATTTTGAGCTGAGTGCTGACCTGATAAATCCAATTATGTCCAGTTGATCACCAGGAGAAAAGCTCAGCTAGACCAAGACAAATTATTAAAACAAAAAAAGAAGAATATCTAAAACACTGCATATTAGCACCTTAAAGTAGAAATATATACCCTTAAGGTAGTAATATGTTTTATGGAACTATTATGAACCATTTATGAAGATACAAATATCTCTTTGAGAGTACTGCCCCAGTAACAAGCTGTAAGGTACAATTTTCCACATTTTTAGAGTGTATTTTTGTATATATTTGTATTAGAGAAACAATGCATTGCTTTACTTCTACATATATCTTATTGTTATTAATTTATTTAGTGTGTATCCACATATGTATGTGTATATAATAGACAGTGTTGGGCTCGTTACTCCAAAAATGTAATTTATTACTCGTTACTAGTTACTCCTTTCAAAAGTAATAGTATTACTTTACTTATTACTTTCTGACAACAGTAATTAGTTACACTACTAGTTACATTACTTTTCCTTCACGCCCCACAGAAGTTGTAATTGTGTATCTTCCTCATAAAATTCTTCTGAAATGTTACTAACAATATATTTCTGCCTCATCATTTGACCAAAATCTGCATTGAATCGCAATCAGAAGTTATTACAAACACTCAGTGGTGATTGATGGTGACTTTTAAGTAGAGGTGTTGTATTAATTGTAGCTTATTTCATTAAGTATTTTATCTAAAGAAATCACATAAGTTCATAAGATTTTTAATTACAGTAATATAATTTATATGGGGATCAGAGGGGTGTGGGTGTAATGCCAGAGTAAAGTAATGCCACAACTTACACATCTGTGTTCAGATCACCTTTTCTTCTGACAAAATCAGTGTATAATGGCAATAGCCTATTTCTGTCCCCTAAATGTAAGCTTTTCCATATTCTAAGCTTTCCTGACGCACTGCTGACTTCATGTGCCTGTGCCAGTCATTATGAAAATAAATCTAGGAATTATTGGATTGTTGGATTTAATCATTAGGGGTTGAGGCATCAAAGGTAACTAAGTAACGAGCTGTTTTATGGATGGTAGCTGTAATATTATTACTGAAATCTTATGGTTACACTACTAGATACTGCAAAAAGTAATATTACTATAGTAATGCTGGTTAGTCAAGTCAAGTCAAGTCACCTTTATTTATATAACGCTTTTAACAATACAGAGTTAGGTATGCTTTGAAGCTGGGATGCTGGTTTGAGTTGGTTTAAGCTGGTTATCTGCTGGTTTATGCTGGTCCTTAGCTGGTCATGTGCTGGTCCTAAACTGGTCCGACCAGCTTAAGACCAGCAAAGGACCAGCTTAAACCAGCAAAGGACCAGCTTAAACCAGCAA